AATACTCTAAAACATATAAATAAGTTACCCGGGCAATTGATTTGCATTAGCCAATCAGACGAATTTCTGCCTATGACTTGTAATGTTATTGCTTCTCTACTTAATTGCATCGAATGAAACTTGGGGGAAACATATATGCATGGCACATATATCTGATATAAAAATGGAGCATAAGTGTGCACACAGCAGTAAATATGTAACTTAAATGTTATATTATTTTATTAATACGTAAATCATACGTATTCATATAACAATAATTATATTTTTCATTAAGATTGAGCGGAAAATGAAATGTAAATGCACAAAATTAGGAATTTTCATTAACATTTAATTTCATTAATATATATTTAATTTCATGATTAGAAATATTGTAAAGAAACAGTGGACCGTTAAATAATCTACGTAAATGTTACGTATCGTTATGGTTCGCCTTTTATAGCAAATTTAAAAAAACAGGCTTAATTCCACAATACCATATCGATTAAGCGATAACGAAACGTCAAGTTGTGCAGAAGTGGTATGTTTGTCAATCGATAGTTTATTTATATTGGAATTTTGATGATTAACAAATAGAATTTAGCCACGCAAACTACGATTTCCATGGCAGGGAAGATCACCCATATAATTGCCTATTCTAAAATTTCGGATATTCGTTATTTAAGATAAATCATGTATAAAAGCAGGTTTACACTTTATATCTTTTTTCATCAAAAATTATCATCTGTATGTGTTTTTCTAATGATTTCGATTCGTTTTGATGTTTTGCCAAATGACGATTACAATGATGATAATGAAATTCGTTCTCCTAATTCATTTCAATCAAATAATGATTCTTTAGAAATGGATACTTTAAAACGTCGTAACATTCCTACTACGATTAATCAACAATTTCCTAAAGCTGGTTACGAACAAGTTCCTCTTGACCCCATTGACTTTGATGAAAATGGGAAATTACATAAACCGATCCGTTTACCCAAAAATAAGGTGGTACTAAATCTCGCTATATACTGTGATTCGATGGCATTCTGATTTAAACGATGCTTCCATATTAAAGGTTTTAGCCATTTGGAAACAACATAATGATATCATTATTCCGGCATTCTTTACTCTTTTATCTTTTTGGACAAGATATTACTTGATTTCTTATTCAAAATTCGTTGTTTGGGATGAGGTATTTGTTAATCAATTCATTTTCTTTGCATATCATAAAATAATTCTATTAATTTTCTGTTTCAAACATGTTGATTTTTGCAATCCATTGGATTTACCATTATTCAAAAAAAGGCTCATTTTGGCAAGGTAATATGACTACTTCATTTGCATTTGTTTTGTTGAATTATATATCTTGTATATCTAACTTGTATATCTAACTGTATATTCTAACTTGTATATCTAACTTGTATCTCTAACTTGTATATCTAACTTTTTTTACGCGTTTAAAGTTTGGTTCACATTACCTAAAAAGAGAGTTTTATTTTGATGTGCATCCACCACTTGGAAAGATGATAGTTGGTCTTGCTGGATTTCTCGCAGGATATAATGGATCATTCGAATTTGGTTCCGGTGAAGCATATCCCGCAGATGTAAATTACACTTTTATGCGAATATTTTTGGCATCTTTCGGTGCCTGGCTGGTTCCCTTAGCATATTTTACTGCACTTGAGCTAGATTTTTCCCAACAGGCTGTGATATTGACAACATTAATGGTTTTACTTGGTATGTTGTGGAATTTATCGTGTTTTTTGATGTAATTTTTGCTGAAATATTTCTTTCCTTTTTAGATACCGCGTACCTTTGTATTAGCCGATTTATTTTGTTGGATTCTATGTTGTTATTTTTCACTTTCACTACCGTTTTTTTCTTGACAAAATTCCACAATCAACGCAACGAGTATGCATTTCTATTCATTTATTATCTTAAACTATCAACAACTAATTACTAACTAATTACTTTATTTTTTTTTTCTAGCCCTTTTTCTTTAGATTGGTGGTTATGGCTTATTCTTAGTGGAGTATCTATTGGATGTGTAACAAGGTTAGTAATTCATTTTATATATGTTATCTTTTTTATTCTTGTATAAAAAAAATTTATGATTTAAAAAATATATATATATATATATTTAGTGTTAAATGGGTTGGTTTATTTGTTACTGCATTGGTTGGCTTGTATACTATTGAGGATTTGTGGGATAAATTTGGTGATCTCAGCATGCCAAAGGTAAAAGTTCTTGATCATTATTATCGCATATTATTATTATATGCTATTTGTTTTTAATATTTATTCTTATTATAATAGAAAATTTACCTCAAGCATTGGATTGCAAGGATCATTTGTTTGATAATATTACCAATTCTATTATATATGCTCAGTTTCGCATTACATTTCGCTATTCTCCATAATAGTGGTCCAGGCGATGCACAAATGAGTTCCTTATTTCAAGCTGGTTTGCGTGGCAATAATTTTTATGAAAATCCTATAGGTATATATAAATATCTATTTCTCATTATTGATCCTTTTTCATTATTGAATTGCCATTAAAATATAATTCCTATTTTAGAGGTGGCATATGGTTCAAAGTTCACCCTTAAAAACATGGGATATGGTGGTGGCCTTTTACATTCTCATGTTCAAACTTATCCTAGTGGTTCGAAACAACAACAAGTAACATGTTACCATCATAGAGATGCAAATAATGAATGGATTATTAAAAAAGTAAGAGAAGCGCAAGTGGATAACGATACAGAGATTGAATTTGTAAAACACAATGATGTTGTCCGTTTGTTTCATGCGCAAACTGGCCGAAATCTTCATAGTCATCAAGTAGGCGCACCTGTCACAAAATCTCATTATGAAGTTAGTTGTTATGGCAACGAAGAAATTGGTGATAAAAATGATTACTGGATTGTTGAAGTGGTCGACGATCTTTTTGAAAAAACGGATCATATTCGTTCCTTGACAACTCGTTTAAGATTTCGTCATCAAATCTTGGGATGTTATTTAAGAGCTGCTAATGCCATTTTGCCTCAATGGGGATTTAAACAAGTTGAAGTAACATGCGATAAAAAGAACAGTCCATCTGATTCTCACACGCACTGGAATGTTGAGCATCATTGGAATGACAAATGTAATATATTATTTCATTATTTCATTAATTAATATATTATTTCTAACTCTATCTTGCTAATTTATGCTATTATCATTTTCTAGTGTCTGCTGGTGGTAGTTCACATTATAGAACATTGTTCTTACATGATTTTTGGCATTTAAATGTTGCTATGTATACTTCTAATAATGCGCTCGTTCCTGATCCTGATAAAGAAGACATCCTTGCCTCTCATCCACTACAATGGCCTATCCTACAAGTAGGTATTCGAATTTGTGGTTGGGATGATTATGCGGTTAAGTACTATTTACTTGGAAACCCTGCAGTGTGGTGGTCGGGTACTGCTTCATTGGTTATTTCGATTTTGTTGTTTGCTTGGTATTTGATTCGACGACAACGACAGTATCAAGATTTCTCACAAGGTAATTCTTCTTTATAAGTTTTATGATTAACTAATTATTCTTGGACACTGTTTGGTTAATAAATATTTATCTTTACAAACAGCACAATGGTTTCACGCCTTATACGTGGGTAAATTATGTTTTATCGGATGGGTCCTTCATTATTTGCCATTTTATATCATGGGTCGTGTTACGTACCTTCATCACTATTTTCCAGCCCTTTATTTCTCAATTCTCATGTGTGCGTTCGTTTTAGATCATTTTACTTCAACCTGTAATTCAATAATTAAGAATATTGTATTTGGTATTAGTTATTTGGTGGTAATATCGGTGTTTTTATATTTCAAGGATATTGCATTTGGATTCGATTATCCTTCTAGTGAGCTTAAAGGAAGGCAATGGCTTAGCACATGGAATCTTGTAGATTAAATTTAGCATAACTTATAATACTAAATTTGATATATATATATATATTTATTATATTTATTATTTATTAAAAAAAATTATATATGTATATATATACATATATATTTTGTAACATTTTTGTAATAATAATACCTAGTTATCCTAGCATCGCCACAAAAAATGTAGCGACGTTATGATGTCATTTCAAACCTTCACGTGTTGCTGTATATTGATTACAGAATTATAATACGTGTAATTTCTACCATTAAAAAAATTTAAAAATCGGTTAAACATTTAAGATTTCGAATGATCAACCGCAGTATCGGTGATCTTTAACGTTAATTATTACTATCCACATTTGGTTGTTAGTTTTTATGTAAGAAAATAGATCAATCTACTGTACATTGCATTACATGATAATACCTTCTTAATACAGTTACAGTAAACCTTTTTATTATTTACTATATAATAACTGATACTGAATGAACTTGCCGTCAACTGAACCTAAACGGATCATAATCCCCGACAAACAAAATCCAACCAGGTAAAATTCACCACCTAATTTTTTTCAAACCATGTGATATAATTCTAATGAGCACCATTTCATTGATCATTTTTAATTTAGAATGATATAATGAAACGATGCACTTTAAATCATTTACACAATCTGAAAAAATGGTGAATTTTACCCGTTTACAAAATCCAGAAAAGATTATAATTTTGACAAGTTAGCCCGCAATAGTTGGAATTTTGACCCAGATTTAAGAGTAGGTATGATTTAGTTTGAAAATTTTTTTTTGTATATACCAGTAAGTTGATAAAAAAGATTTCGTCTAATCAGCAGAGGTATTTATTCTATTTATTATTATATAATAATAAAGGTCTTTATTGTATTTTATTTTTAAACACAAAAATGACAAATAATTACTAAGAAAATTAAAATTGTTATAACTGTTATTTATTTATTTATCTATTTATTACTATTGATACTATAAAATGATTAAGCAATAGAAAGAATTTGTGATAGTTCATGTTGTAAGGAGGTTAGTCAAAAAGTATTATCTATATAGACTAATACTGAGCATCTGGCTTGAAACTTATTAAAAGAACTATTTTTAAAGTTAGTGATCCAGAATGTTTGTATAGTAGATTTAGGAAACTGTGAGTAAATATATGATATAAGTGGATTATAATAGATTCTTCACAAAATGAAATAATAGTTTCATCTTAATTAATTGTATTTTGAACAAGGTATAAAGAGGTTAGTTCAAGATTAGTTTTAATAATGGTTGTTGGTAAAGCAAATTGAATTAGTGAATCTTAAAATAAAGAAAATTTAATAAAGTTGTAAGCTTTACTTATATCTTAAGATAGAAGTCATATATCTTTGTAATTATATATAGTATTCTCAATATATTTTACAGTTACTAATATTCACTTATAAATATTTCTTATAATATTTTTATAATGATTTAATACAATGAAAATAAAATTATTATTAAAAATTTAATCAAAAATATTACAAGTATAGAGACTATGAAATATATTAGATATTTAATAATATACTATAATATTATATATTATCACAGCTTTGCCATGCTAATCTATAATATTTACAGCAGTCTGTTATTAAGTTATTAAAAATATATATAGAAGTTGCAGTAAAATTTCTAGGTAAAGCAACATAGTTAAGGAGTAATAAAATAGAATTTTGTTAAAATATTATATTAAGTCTATTGGTAATAATTTTGATATAGATTTTTTAAATACAGTACATTTTATAAGACTAATTGGCCAAGCAAGGTTAAGATTGTCATTAAAGTATTATATTTTGATATAAGGTAAATTTTTCTGTTTTTCTATTGTTTAGAAATTTAATTTTAAGTAAAGTAAAGATTAAAAAGAATAGTAAGAGCTTAAAGACATATAGTGCTACAATACTAGATAGTATGAAACATCCAATATATATATATAAAGTAACAATTTTTGATGCTTATTTAATCAATTTTGTATAATTAATTTTGATTGGTTAATGAAGTATATGTCTTTCTTTTTTTTATATTAAATGCTAATTTTTAAATTATTATAAACTTTAACTCTTAATAACTTCTTTAAAGCAAAAAATAATAAAAAATTCTTTAACAGAAATGTAGTTTGATTAAAAATTTATTAATCTGTTGATTTAATTCATTATAATTTAAAGTTATTATATATAAAAAGTAGATGTCTTATACTGTTCAGTATTGTAAAATATTTATCATTTTATAACTAATATCAGTAGGTTAACAAGCTTTGCTATTTGAAAGCTTAAAAATAGCTGAGATTATTTCTTTTATTGTAATTGTTAAAGTAAAAGATTATATTAATTAGGATTAATATAAGTTTGTAATAATAGTTTTGAATATATTGTTTAATAAAAATAGGCTTAGTAATTAATTAATTAAGTAATTTAATATTTAAAAAATATATTAGAGCCTAATAATAATTAAGAATATTATTAATAGTTTGTGTTGATTTATTAACAAGAGTTTCAAACTTTTTTTTAAAAACTTATTGAATTTGTTGATAAAAAAAATTATGGCATATCTGATATAGTTGATACTATATATTTTAAGCATGATATAACTTAGTATTTTTATTAAATCTGATGTAATATAAAATCAAAACAAACTAACAAAATATTAATTTAGAGTAAGGATTAGTACTAACATAGAGTTAGATTGAATTGTAAATATATATTAGTTATATTAGTTATATCCAAAATTTTATAAAAAATTTTTTTGTTAGAATACAAAGATAGTTTTATAAGCTAACTTATAAGTTATAAATAATTTTTTTAAAATAATTTTTTTCAATTTTACATTATACTGATTTTATGATCTAATTGATCAATTAGATGGATGTATTATAATTAGAATATATAAAATATAGTATACTAACTATTTAAATTTATACCAAAATGCTACTCTGATATACTATTAATTATATCAATATAGTATGACTAAGAAAATTTAATATATTTTAATTGCCATTTTTTTCATATAAACAAAGTTATATTAGTTATTCTGTTTATTCAAGTCATCATTTTATAGAAGATTTAAAACAATAAACTATAGTTCTAATATTCTACAGTTACTTTATAACTAATTAATAGTTATTAGAATGCTTATAGATAACTTGCTATATTGATAAAATATGATCAATTAAGATAATACCCTAACTGAAAAGCTTATCCAACTATCATTCTATAATAGAATATCATCAATTTAATAACATCTTCTCATAGAGAAATAAAAGAAAAAAAAGTTTTTTAAAAAAACACAGAAGTATAGAGAAATATATTAAAAAATATGAGCAAAAAAATGAATAAGATAAAAGAAAGATGAAAAAACTAAACTAAATATAGAATTTTTTATCTATACTAGACAGTTACAATTATAAGCCTGTATTAAACTTTGTAATATTATATACTACGATTTAACCTAGTTTTTACTTTAATTTATAATTAGTATATCTAAAATAAGAAAAAAACTAGTATTAAAAATTCATCCTATTGGTCTTAGAGCATTTTTGTTCAAATCATCATCTTTGAAGCACATCTTTTATATATTAAGTTCTATATATATTTACATATTGTTGTGACATATAAAAAGTAAAACAATACTAACCAATTTGATAAGTAAATAATATATCAATCTTTTGGAGAGAGTAAGCTAAGTTATCTATTTTTTTACAAAATTTGCAAAAAAGTGAAAGTCAATGAAAGTATATAAGGTTTTTTTGTAAGTTTTATAATTATATAGACAATTCTTCAAGCTTTTGCTATCTTAGCAAGGGCTTTTTAACCTCTTCTAATTTGGATACTAAATATCTTAAAAAGTCTGTGACCAAGAAGCTTGACTCAAAAAAACTACATAAATTATATCTACGTTTCAGTATTTTATGTTTTTTAAGTTTCATCAACAATAAAACAAAATCAGTTTTCAAAATATCCTTCTGGTTTAGATGCTTAGAGGGTTTATTTAAAATCAGCAAAAGTTTAGTCTCAGAAAAAATCATCTAAGTTACATCTACTTCTTGATATTTCATATTTTAGATTTCATCTACTACTATTTTTTTCAAAGATAGAACTAAGAATAGTAATTGTTTTAAACATTTTTATAGCATTTTTCTGTAGTTTAGTCTTTTGTTATTGTTAATCAAAGAATCA